CAATGACGTCATATGACGCCATGCGAACTTAGCAACTATTGGAGGATATTGTTTTCATCATAACATTTGTGATCCTGAGCATGCGCAGAGTTCCGATGTAACAGTCGGCCATCGCTTTATATTCGCAGCGTGAGTTTGTTAGTCTATTAGCTTTTTTCGCAATCACCAACCTTTTTATTTATTCAAAACTAGTATGTCTTCGCGCTTCTGGTGCACTTGTTTTGCGCATGGCCTAAGGCACGGCACCCTGCTACTATGTCTGGTTTTTTTTTAGCGAAACGCCATTAACGTTTACCAGGGCGACGTTTACTGATTACTTTGCACGGACTCTATGGCCGATCATTTTGCCACATTAGTTTGAATAGTTGCTCCTTCATTCTTGCAAACCAAAACTAATTTGTTACACATGCAAAAAAGTTATTACTTAGATAGAATATACTGTATGCCTAGTTATACCACTGTTCTGATAATGTAAACATAGAATGAAACAAAGATAACCAAACAGATTATAAATTTGAGTGAATTGGATAACTCACATGTCTAATTGTTATATAGTTCACTAACTATTAGTTATATAGTTCAAAGTTCGATTTTTCTGTTTTCCGATTGGACAAAATCGTGTCACGTGCCGGTCCGCAAAACGTCATGTTTACTCATTACCCTGGCAACGAGGCAACCAGTTCATAATAGAACATTTATTGACCGGTCCACAATAGAATGGGTGCACTGGGCATGCGCGTCAAGCGTGAAGTTCCAAAATTCATTTTATTAAACTTTTTTTTATTAAACATTTACGGCGTTCCATTTATCTAGTTTTGGTTTCAAAGTTCACTCCAATAACCGGTGAATTATTCATACTTTGATTCTTATATACTATATAACAAGACACTTATTTACTGAGACCTCGGGAAAGTAGTGTGTTTTGTGGCCCCTCGACCGCCGTCATTGCCCTCGGCTTCGCGTCGGGCAGCAACGGCGGTCTGGGTCCACAAAACACACTGTTTCCCTCGGTCTCAGTAAATAAGTGACAATTATATCACAGTTCTGATGCTGTAAACATGCACTATTAATTTCAAGGAGTCATTTTAACTCCACCGGAAGATTTAAAACTACTTCCTTCGGGGAAGTAGAAATTTTGGAGTAGCAAAAATAATTTCAGCACATGAGTAAAAGTAACGGACTAACGGAGTACATTTTATTCTGTATTTTTTACTCCAGGGGTTGTTTCAACTTCCAATCAATTGTAGTAGGAGTAAAAATAGCTAGTTATTTTTCCACTTAGTTTTTACTCAGCCGGTGAATTTTAACTCGATCATTATACATATACGAATGACGAAAACTATATTCAAGTTTCTTCAACCTATAGAATTAGGGCGATATTTGATATACAAATTCGTAGTGAAGGAGCTACAAATTTCGTGAAAAATCATCACAAGATTTGACTGGTTGACGCGCTTTTTCTCGGAATATCACTGTCAGAATGCTGTATTAACAGTATATCGGCTATGTGGATATACAATTATATCAACACTCGTGGAAATCGAGAAAACGAGAAATTGTGTGGAAACATGACGCCCGGAGGGCGGATTTTTTTCACACAATTTCGAGTTGTCCCAATTTCCACGAGTATATCAATACAGAAAAATGTTTTATATATTTTTTATAATATAGCACAAAGAAATATAAAGAAAGAAATTTTCCGTGTTGACATTGAGTTATATCAACTCGGCTCTTAGCCAATCAGCGTTCAGAATTTACAAATGCCAGTTATACCAAATATTATCAAATCTAGTTTCGAAACACATCACACATGTGTACTCAAAACGCCCAACTGAACATCAAAACGGTAATGACTGGAAATGACGTATAGTTAAGGGGTTAGCCTTTCGTTTTTTGTCGTTTTCAAAGTGTTTATATAAATACTGTTACTGATTAAAGTACATACGTGCACACCGTTTCTGGAAAGAACAGTGCAGTGCTCTGGGAATTCAACCCAGAAACGAATGAGTGCTGTATATTCTTTCAAAATTTCAACTAGCAAATTTCATGTGAGTCTCCTTGATAAGCCTACGGCTTTTGAGGCAAACATTTTAATATAAAGTTTATAATAAAAAAATTCGATTTCGATTTATTAGCTTAGTTAACTTTGTATTCCTGCAGCCAAATTGTTACTTATTTTATATTTCTGATACGTACATCGTTCATCGAGAAACGTGACAAAGTATGAATGCCTGTGGTATGTGGTCTCCTAGCTCTCTTTTGACCATTCTTTTATCAACTGAAAATCTACTTTTTGAGAAATAAAACAGTTCTTTAAGATTTTATGAATGCATTGAATAATTTGTGGCAAAATTAGAACTTTGGAAAAAAGCATTTGAATATCGTGCATTTAAATGAAAGTGGATACCCCAGCGAGGGGGAATTATACTCATAATTTTATACTGCAGAGAATTTAATTATAACCCCCAGTTATAAAAGGCAAGAACACTAAATAGCTGCGGATTGAGAAAGATTCAATTGCATGCCTTCGCTCGAAAGTCGAAGAAAACTTGTATTTTCCAGATAGATGAATCCCTCTTAACACGCAGCTTACTGGTGTTATTGTCCTGGTCACTACCTACGCTGACGCACCACAGAAGTCAATAACAACTATTAATTTTATAGTTCCGAACACGGACACTGTTTTTTCTTTTGGATTTTTTGGATATTTTGCCGGATACAAAAAACCGAAACCAAAAACTCCGGGGCAAACCCTCACGCACCTACGACCGAAATACCGGACTAAAATATAACATACCTACCATCATCTTTGCCATCATCTCATCCACCAGAACTAACATTCCAGACGACAGGAAAATCATCAGTGAGAGCAAACTGAACAATCAATCCAAATAACAGAACCATCGATATCTTCAGTACAAACATGACAGAAAAGATACTATCCACTGTGGTACCAGTGGCTAACACCTATGCTGGCTACAAGCTAATCTTTCTGTACTGGTGAATACACATATATGTTAGAACAATCAGTCAGAAAACCTGTCAACGTTGAATTAGATAGATGCAAGCTTATCAGGCAGGAGTGATAAGTGGGAATTTCGGATGTGCACTCGTACCCCGGCCCACTGACTACAGACAGATGGAGGGAGGGGTATATTGAACCCTTTCAGCTTTGCCAATAACCTATATAAATTCTGTTACGATGTACCTGAAGAGTCAAGTTTCCTGATTTTCATGTAACTTGTTTTGATGATATTATGATGAATTTTCTGTTCATTAGATAAACTTAATTAATGTATAAGAATAAACTTTTTATACATCTTTATCATAAATTAAGGTCTGGCACTAGCCGGATAGTTGGATGAGGGGGGGGGGG